GAGCAAATGTTGGTGAAAATATTCAGTGGAAACACTCAGATGCTGCTAATTTTTAAAAAGTCTGTTTATATTTTTTATGAGAGCAAGAGATAAGCCCTCTCAACAGGGTCTCACCCCACGATCCTCCTCCCCGCCAGTTTGCCTAGCTAGCCAGGATCACAGACATATGTGCCCAGCATGTACAGAAAAACCAGGGAACCAAACCCAGGGTCTTCCACATAGATCCAGCATCCCTTGGCCAGTGCACTATTGCTAGCACCACTCAGCCAGCCTGGCTGATAAAGTTGGATGTCGGTAGAATGTATTTATACTTTCTTCTGTTTTGTAGTTGAACACAGTGCTTACCCTGTGCCCCAGGAAGCAATGCCCTGAGGACAGAGTTTGTATATGTAGCATGGGTCACCTGTAACCTGTGTCTGGTCACACCCACAGGGAAGCTCAGTCCTTGCACAGTGGATTTTTAGAAATGAAAAAGTTAGAATGAAATCAAAAGGGTTATAAAATCATTCAGTGGGTCTACCAGCTAAGTAGAAAAGATCAGAGCGTACCATGTACGGGTATTGTTTGAAGAAGTTTTTGTGTTGTGTTTACAAGGGTCTTCAAAATATTTGTGTAAAATGTGAGTTATGAGAAAACTGTACATGGAGTTCACAATTTTTTGCACCAAAACAAACTTGTACTTTAATTCCATGAACTTTTTGGAGTTCCCTTGATTATTTATTTATACATTCTCAGGTGTATGTTTACTGGGTCGTGATGGAAAATACCTTGCTTGGTCATTGTCAGAAAAGTTTGGAAGCCACTGACCCAGAAAAACTTCAGCACATGTGCATCAAGGCACACATGAGAGCATTCATAGCATCATTGTTTGACAGAGCAAAAAACTAAAACCATAAACAGGAGAATGGATAAATGTACTCTCTTTACACAAAAGTACCACATAAAGTGGTAGAAATGAATGAATTGTTGCTATAAGGAACAATATAACTGAATAGTAGTAATGATGGTATTAAGCCATTTGCAGAAGACTGGATAGAATATCATTTTTATGAAGCTCAAATTAAAAGGAAATCATATATATAATAAAACTTTTTTATAATGGCAAAGCCATAATAATTCATGATAGCAGTTACTTCTGGTAGAAAGATGCAATAGGAAAGGCACACACAGTTCATCATTCTGTTACGTTTCATAACATGTTTAAATAAAAGATTAAAAAAAGAAGAATTAAATTTGGTGGGGTGATGGTAGGGTCTGGTTTGGGAATCCATACACTGAGTTAGGCGGGGCTAGAGGAACTGATGAGCTGGAAGGCAATTTCCAAACACAGCAGTAGCTAACATTTGTGTGCTGGGAAAGGAAAGGCAAAGCAGAAACAGCTGCTACCAAATGCCTGCTCCACAGCAAACGCCTGTCCTCCTCCTTTACCAGAAATGGAGCGGGATTCATGAGGGCTTCCAGGAATCCTTCAGTTGTTCAGTGCACGTAGCCTTGCTACCAGATGGGGTAAGATAAGACGTACTCCTCTCAAAGCAGCATCATATTATTTGAGAAATAAATGCAGAACCAGATAAATACAGTGATAAAATAATACCCAGCCCAGTGGATGTTAAGAAAATTAATGGGGTGAAGAATAGCAGGTATTATCTGAGGAGTACAAGGGTGGTCCAAAACAAGAAAAGCTCATATAGCATGAATTTGCAGGTTCTAAAGAAGATGAAAATAGTCACCTGATAAAAGGCATTTAATAAAATTCAGAGCTCATTCATAATAAAAACTTAGGAATAGAAGAAACATTTCTTAACTCAATGAAAGGTATCTGTTAAAACTTACAGTAAACATTAAACCTAATTTTGAAAATTTGGACATATTTCTGTTATAATAAAAAAAACACAAGAATGTCTGCTCTCACTCTAAGTAAATGGTTATACACACACACACACACACACACACACACACACACACATACATACATACACACAGAAAAACCCTGTAGGAATTTTGATTGCAATATTGTTTAATAGTGAAGAGTTGTGGTTTACCTAAATATACATTAAAAATATAATGATTAAATTGTGGAGTAAAATGATGAAAATGATTGGACCAGAGTTACTTGTATCAGTGTAGATAAATTTATGTTGAGGCAAAAGTAAAGTATAATAGGATATTTACACTGTGCATGTAGAGAAATACCAAGTGTTTGTGTGTTTTAGGTTTTTGCCATGGAGCACATGCCCTTGCCAGAGAGATTGATAAAAGAAAGTGAGAAATCACCCCCTAGCAGGGATGGCCACACTACAATCCCTTTTGCTTCATTCTCCTCTCAGGATTTTGGGTACACACACATGCATGCCCAGCATGTTTTTCAAAGTCATCAGGTCTGAGACTTGAACCATGGAGTTGGCCATGTGGGATCTGTCACCTTAACTACCATGCCACCTGCTAGCCTAAAATACCATATATTTTTAATGGAAATATTTATTAAAATATGCATAGGAATAATTAACACAAAGTTCAAAATAATGATGACTTCTGAGGAGAAAGAACAGAATGCAACTGTGTAGGGATACACAGAGGTCTTCCATCATATTTGAAATAATTCCTAAGAAGAAAAAACCTAACAGGAATGGCAGCTCCTGATTTTATAAAACTCGAGTTATAGATTTTTCTTTTTCCTTAAGAGGCAAGATGTACAATATCAAAGGTATTAGGTTGTCAGGAAAGTCATGACATTTTTTTCTGTTATATCTGTTTTTTTTTTTTGTTGTTTGTTTTTTTTTTTTGAGAGAGGTTTTTACTATAGGGTGCATGCGCTCGCCAGAAAGAGAGAGACAGAAAGCAAGAAATCACCCCTCAGGGGATGGCCACACCGCAGCCTCTTCTCCTTCATTCTCCTCTCAGGATCTTGGGCACTCACACTCATGTGTCCAGCGTGAGTTTAAACCACTGGGTCCAGGACTCGAAACGTGGTTGATTTCATGGGAGTCCAGTGACATAGCCATTATGCCAACTGCTGGTCCCTCTATTATATCTTTTTCAATGCAAAAAATCGTCATAACTTTTCTGATGACCCAATGAAAGTGAGAACGGTGATGCTCAAAGGGTATATTTAATCCTCAGACAGAGCTGTTGAATTAGATTAGTCCCATTTTACAAATAAACAATGACTAGAGAGGCTCTATAGTTTACCTAAGTGTATATAGCTGCATATTACAGAGCTGGGATTTGAATTTAAGTGTCTTAGCTACCAAGCCCTATTTTTAAAGAGAATGCACAAGAGGGGCACATCCAGTCTCTAAGTGAATTGAGTATGGGGATTGTTTGGTTTGTGTTTTCTGTAGGAAATGATCCGACTAGATGAAGTCCCCAATTTGAGTTCGTTAGTATCCAATTTCGATCAGCAGCAGCTACACACACACACACACACACACACACACACACACACATACATACATACACACAGAAAAACCCTGTAGGAATTTTGATTGCAATATTGTTTAATAGTGAAGAGTTGTGGTTTACCTAAATATACATTAAAAATATAATGATTAAATTGTGGAGTAAAATGATGAAAATGATTGGACCAGAGTTACTTGTATCAGTGTAGATAAATTTATGTTGAGGCAAAAGTAAAGTATAATAGGATATTTACACTGTGCATGTAGAGAAATACCAAGTGTTTGTGTGTTTTAGGTTTTTGCCATGGAGCACATGCCCTTGCCAGAGAGATTGATAAAAGAAAGTGAGAAATCACCCCCTAGCAGGGATGGCCACACTACAATCCCTTTTGCTTCATTCTCCTCTCAGGATTTTGGGTACACACACATGCATGCCCAGCATGTTTTTCAAAGTCATCAGGTCTGAGACTTGAACCATGGAGTTGGCCATGTGGGATCTGTCACCTTAACTACCATGCCACCTGCTAGCCTAAAATACCATATATTTTTAATGGAAATATTTATTAAAATATGCATAGGAATAATTAACACAAAGTTCAAAATAATGATGACTTCTGAGGAGAAAGAACAGAATGCAACTGTGTAGGGATACACAGAGGTCTTCCATCATATTTGAAATAATTCCTAAGAAGAAAAAACCTAACAGGAATGGCAGCTCCTGATTTTATAAAACTCGAGTTATAGATTTTTCTTTTTCCTTAAGAGGCAAGATGTACAATATCAAAGGTATTAGGTTGTCAGGAAAGTCATGACATTTTTTTCTGTTATATCTGTTTTTTTTTTTTTGTTGTTTGTTTTTTTTTTTTGAGAGAGGTTTTTACTATAGGGTGCATGCGCTCGCCAGAAAGAGAGAGACAGAAAGCAAGAAATCACCCCTCAGGGGATGGCCACACCGCAGCCTCTTCTCCTTCATTCTCCTCTCAGGATCTTGGGCACTCACACTCATGTGTCCAGCGTGAGTTTAAACCACTGGGTCCAGGACTCGAAACGTGGTTGATTTCATGGGAGTCCAGTGACATAGCCATTATGCCAACTGCTGGTCCCTCTATTATATCTTTTTCAATGCAAAAAATCGTCATAACTTTTCTGATGACCCAATGAAAGTGAGAACGGTGATGCTCAAAGGGTATATTTAATCCTCAGACAGAGCTGTTGAATTAGATTAGTCCCATTTTACAAATAAACAATGACTAGAGAGGCTCTATAGTTTACCTAAGTGTATATAGCTGCATATTACAGAGCTGGGATTTGAATTTAAGTGTCTTAGCTACCAAGCCCTATTTTTAAAGAGAATGCACAAGAGGGGCACATCCAGTCTCTAAGTGAATTGAGTATGGGGATTGTTTGGTTTGTGTTTTCTGTAGGAAATGATCCGACTAGATGAAGTCCCCAATTTGAGTTCGTTAGTATCCAATTTCGATCAGCAGCAGCTTGCTAATTTCTGCCGGATTTTGGCTGTCACTATTTCGGAGATGGATACAGGAAATGATGACAAGCACACACTTCTTGCCAAAAATGCTCAGCAGAAAAAGAGTTTGAGCTTGGGACCTTCTGCAGCTGAAATCAACCAAGGTAAATTCCCTGAGTTCTCGGAGTTTTGAAATCGTAGCTCTGAGATCCTCCGTAAGTCCTCTAGCTCTTCCACTGTTTCTAGAGATTGATCTATGTGAAGGCTTCTAGTGTTGACTTAGATTATGTAAGTTTCTGTTTATCTGTTCATTATTTGGGAGAATCAAGTTCCATAGCTTTTATCAGATTTTTTAGTGGATTCAAAACCTTAAAAAAGCTATGAACCGTTGTTTATCAGAATTACAAATATGTATATACCTTGTGATCTACTAAGCCTCTTCTGGGCATGTGTGTGTGAGCACGTGTGTGTATACACACACATACGCTTATATAAGCTATTATATATATGATGTATATACAAGGCTATTTATTACATTATTGTACTAACAGAAGACTTGAAACAACCCTGACTATGTAACTTACAGAATATTTATATAATGGGAAACTATCTTTAAAAAAAAAAAAAAAGAAAGGATGAAGATCTCTATGTACTGGTATAGTAAAATCTTTAAGATATATTAATGATAAAAAGGAAAATGCAGGACAGTGTGCATAATGTGATACTTTTTGCATTAAGGCAGGGAGGGAGAATAAGATATATTTGTTTGCTTGTATATGGTATATTCATAAAGAAACTGAAAGGACATACATGGAAACCAACAGTGGTTACCTGTGAAGAAATCCAATTAATGATAGTGGGGGAAGTCCTGTTATCTGATAAGTGTGTATTAGCAATGGCAGTGCATTCCTTATGTGAGTATATTAATTAATTAGCTAAGAAAGAAAGCACTATTTTTTTTTTAAGAGATTTTTACTATGGGGATGTGCGCTTGCTGGAGAGACAGACAAAAAGCAAGAAATCACCCTCAGGCAGGGGGATGGCCATGTTGTAATCCATTCTCCTTCATTCTCCTCTTGGGATTTTTGAGTACACACACACACCTGGCATGACTTTCAAGCCACCAGGTCCAGGACTCGAGCTGCAGTTGTCCATATGGGAGTCCAGTACCTTTACCACTATGCCACCTGCTGGCCCCCAAAAGACACTATTCTAACCAGTCTACCCTATTTCTTTCTAGCAAAAGAATTCTGTTCTATTAACAAAGTATTCTTGCCTGAGCAGATTTTGGGGGAAACTAGGCATACATCCGTTCGGCTGTACGAGTATAGATGATCCATATTTGAACTGAAACATTTGTCTTAAAAGTTAGTTCTTGAGGGGCCAGCAGGTAGAGTAGTAGTTAAGGCACTGAACTCACATGGCTGACTGTCTCTCTGGTAAGAGCATGCGCCTTATGGAAAAAACCTAAAAAATAAGAAAAAAATGTTTTTAAATAAAAATTCTTGAAGTTAGCAGACAGAGTCAACAGAAGACTCATACTCAATAGGAAGAGGGAAAACTGCTGTGTAGCACTTACCATTCTGGGATTAGCCCTGGGAATGCACACATCTAGCCAATGGGATTTCGGAAACGAAATATTGATTTTAGAGCACTATCATGGCTACCAAAGGATGTTCAGTTTTCTATTGTTGCCTTTTAAGTTTTTATTATTTTACCTTGTTTATTTCATTAACTCTAAGGTGCACAGTCATTTTTCTGTATCTCTAGATCTAGTCTATTAATTTTCAAGAATTTTTTTTTTTTTTAGGTTTAGTTTCCCATTTAAGACATTTATTCTGGTGGATTACTTTTTTTAAAGATTTTATTTAACTTTATTTATTTATTTTAATTTGACCTGAAAGGGACACAGTGAGAGAGAAAGAGAGAGAGAGAGAGAGAGAGAGAGGGAGAGCAAGCTGCCAGGTCTGGGACTTGAACTGTGGTCAGCCATGTGGGAGTCCAGCACCTTTAACCACCTCGCCACCTGCTGGTCCCCTGGTGGATTACTTTTATCCTGTTAGTGTTGATTACCTTCATGCCTTTTATAAACCGGTTTTAAGTAACACCAGCATTACCCATCATCCTTTAGAAATGAGATACTCCAGACAACTGGGTTTTGGGTTGAGAGCTAACCTCATGCTTAGTTTACTTTGATTTGGGAGACTTAAAAATGTCTTTAGGGCCAGCCAGTGGCATAGTGGTTGAGTTAGCTAGATCCCACACGGCCAACTGCATGATTCAGATCCAGCTCCAGTATCCAGACCCAGCAGCTTGAGAGACACATCAAGTATGTGTGCATGCATGGCCAGGGTCCCAAAGGGAGGGGAAAATAGAGGAGGAGGAATTATGGAGTGGCCACCACACATGGAGGGGAGGTGCATTCTCACATCCACTCTCGCTTTCCGTCTCTGGCAAGTGCATGCACCCTCTGCCAATTTAAAAAAATAATAATTTAAAAAATTATTATAAATTATAGAGATTTATGCTATTTTCCTGGAGCTCAGATAGTAATTATTATAGAGCCCTTTTCGAGATTCTCAGAACTACCAGTTCCTTTTGTTGATGTAGGTGGGAACAAATGATCCCCTCTGGAGGAAAAAACATCATTCAAGATTTTAGTCAGATGTAGATGAATTCATAGACCAGATAATTATCAATGTATAGGTTACATTTTGCTGAGAGGATCTGATAGATGTAACACCCGAAGCTGGAAAGTAGAACTTAAACTGCTAAAAGAAACTGTATAGGCATGTGTGGAAAATAATGATGTTTCAGCAAATAAGAGGGGAACAGGTTTGCTTTTGCAGAAACTCTCAGAAGTTGTGGTTATTTTAGTTGTCATCCAGTTTAATATTTACCTGCAAGGTGTAATAGCTACTGTTGAAGCTCTCAGTAGAACTCCAATGATTGTACAATTCCAGGGTGCCAATCCTTGAGATGGCATGTAAGTTGCTGAGATAATTGGGGCCAGTCAGTTCTCTGAAGAGAGGATCTGTAGCCCCCATCAGCTTTTCTTTTGTTCTTTTTAACTTTATTTATTTATTCCATGACTAAGAGGAACAGAGAGAGCCATCACCAATAGGATCCCAATGTCATTATCCACTCCCAGCCAGCGCTGGGTTGTGGGCATATGTGTGTCAAGAACAGTCAGATCTCTAGACTTGAACCAGGAACCTTCCCACATGGGATTCCTCTCTCAGAGCCCTGCATTTTATTACTGCACTGCCATCTGTCCCCATCATCAGCTTTTCAAGAGATGAGTGACTCAGAAAAAAATCAGCAATCTCTAGGATAGGAATTTAGGATCTCATAACCCTGAGTACTGGGCACATTGCATCTGAAGGAGGATGTGTTCAGTGTGTAGAAATAGGAAGGGCTCAGTCTTACAACTGTCCTAGGAGGAGCAGGTAAAGAAACTGGAGCTATTTAAGCTAGAGAAAAGAGGTATAAATAAAAATCTCACACACACATAATTTCACTTGCATATATTTCAGTATGTTTATAAGATAATAACTTTCTTTAAGTTTTTGCTATAGGTACTGCTTTTGCTAGAGAGAGAGAGCACATACAGTCATGGGCAAGAAAGTGAGAGATCACCCTCTAAGGGGGATGGCTATGCAGCAGTCTCCCCTCGACTTCATTCTCTCCTCAGGATTTTGGGCATGCATACATGCACATTCGGTGTGATTTTCAAGCTTCCAGGTCTGGGACTTAAACCTTGGAATTGGCCATGCTGGATCCAGCCACCTTAACTTCCATGCACATGCTGGCCCAAGATAATGACTTTTTAAAAACATAACCCCAATAATGTTATTATACCCCCAAATTATCAATATCTTGATAGCATAAATATCTAGTTATTTATTGACTTTTGATTAGCCAACAGATTTACATGGTTCTAAACAATCTACAGTTCTACACACAGGTTCATAGAAAAATTTTGGCTCTATTCTTATTCCCTTGTTCAGTTGATGGATATTTGGTCCATTTCCAATTTTGGACTATTTCCTGTGGTTGTTTCCTATGGCATCTGCTGCTTTTGGTTTCTTTTCTGTCCTTCTGGTGAGATTTAATACATGTACAAGCATATACGTACTGACATTAGCCTCATTTTAAAGATAGTTAAATAATGGAGCCAGAGTATAAACTTAGATCTCTTCTTCCTCCAAAGTACATGATATTCTTGTGTGTTGATCAGAATTTCTGTCTTATTATAAATACAGTGGGGTTGATGGAAATGGGAGTTGGGTAGTTTGTATTGTAGTTTCTTTCCTTTTTTTATTTTTTATTTTTATTTTATCTTTTAAGTTTTTGTCATAGGGCATGAGCACTTACTTGAGAGAGACAGTGAGAGGGAAAATGGGAGATCACCCTCTAGGAGGGATGGCCATGCTGCAGTCCCTTCTCCTCCATTCTCCTCTCAAGATTTTGGGCACATACACACCTGCAACCAGTGTAAGTTTCAAGCCACTGGGTCCAGGACTTGAACCAGGGTCTGCCATGTAGGAGTCCAGCACTTTAACCACCACACCACCTGCTGGTCCCTGTAGTTTCTTTCTTTAAAATACACACACGCACACATGTATGTATAGTGTGTGTGTGTGTGTGTATGTGTGTGTATCTTTCTGCTAGGAAAATCAGAAACTAGATTAGTTTTTTTTGTTTGTTTTTTGTTTTTTGTTTTTTACTAGATTAGTTTTAAAAGGAACATATATGTCCTCTTCTGCTCAGGAATAACTATAGTAGTGAATACTTTGGTATGTATGCTTCCATCCTTTGTATATTTTAAAGAAGCAAATATTTAAGGTATTTGTGGTGTGTTTTGTTTTAGACAAGGTGTTACTATGTTTTGCTTCTTCTGGGTAATAGCTGGGACCATAGGCATGCTGCTGTGTCCAACTCTTCTAGGGCCTGGAATCCATCCAGGGCCTCCCATATGACCTCAAGCTGCCAGGCAGCAGTGTCCAGCACGCCCTACCATGCCTGGGCCAACTATTTGAATTTTTGGAGAAAATGAGCTTTATATCAATACTGTTTAATAGTTTACTTTTTTGGAGTCAGCAGATGGCATGGTGGTTAAAGCGCTGGACTCCCACATGGCTAACCGCAGTTCAAGTCCCAGACCTGGCAACTTGCTTTCTCACTTTCCATCTTTGTCTCTGCCTCTCTCTGGTCAAATTAAAATAAATAATTAAATTGAAGAATTATTTTTTGGGACCAGCAGTTAGTGTAATGACTATGTTGCTGGACTTATGTAGTTGACCACAGTTCGAGTCCTGGACCCAGCGACTTAAACTCACACTGGGTGCATGTGCATGCGTGCCCAAGATCCCAAGAGGAGAATGAAGGAGAAGGGATTGCAGCATGGCCATCCCTCCTAGGGGGTGATTTCTCGCTTTCTGTCTCTCTCTCTCTCTCTCTGTCTTTCTGGTGAGCGCATGCATCCTATAGCAAAAAAATTCTCCAAAAAAAGAAAAGAAAAAAGAATTAGTTTTTTAAAAATTGCTGTTTTTCCCTCTAACAAGTAGGATTACAGGCCCATGCCACTACACTTGGCCTGTTCTAGGTTGATCTGCATCTGAATCTGGGCCTTCCAAATGGTTCCAGCTTCACTCAGTGGTTCCCCTACAACTTGCGCCATTGCACTTGGGTGGTCATTTCATTTTAAAAGAGCAGCTCTAACTGCTGTCAGAGTCAGAATCATTCTTATCATGCAGATTGTATGTTGAGGGCTTTAGAGCTGATTATACTGGCGTCTGTTTTGAAAATTCCCTCTCTACTCTCTCCCTGGCAGCGGCCCTTCTCAGCATCCCTGGCTTTGTCGAACGGCTTTGCAAACTGGCAACTCGAAAGGTGTCAGAGTCAACGGGCACAGCCAGCTTCCTGCAGGAGTTGGAGGAATGGTACACATGGCTAGACAACGCTTTGGTGCTGGATGCCCTCATGCGAGTGGCCAACGAGGAGTCTGAGCACAACCAAGGTACTTGGGATGGGTCCCCTAAGTGGTGGGGAGATTTCCCTTGGGCCCCTGGGTTAATTGAGATTTGCACAGAAAAGAGTTTTTCTCAAGGCTGTCCTAGACCTTGACTGTTATTAACTCTTTTTACAGCTAGTTATAGAAACCTTACTGAACTCCCTCATGATGATCCTGATTGTAGGCAGAAAGGCTTTATTGCAGAACCTGAATAGCTTTGTCTCTAGAACTGACTGAAACCAGTAACTAGAACATTTTTAGGAACCCAGAAAGTTATTTGTTTCTTCTTCTTTCTACATGTTTTAGTCTTTTTTCTTTTTTTACTCTGCCTTTCTTTTGATCCTCTTGATGGGACTAAGTGGTAGTCTGCCTAGTGAATATTCACTGGGTAGTTCCGGCTTCCTGGTGAAGGACTGTGGCCTATCTTGGGTCAGGTACCCACCCTTGAAGGATTTGATTCTAGCAGGATGAGGTCAGATTGTACAAACCCAGGAATTCTCAGCTCCTAACAAACAATAGGGTATTTCAATGGGAGGGCCAGGCCACCAGCTTTTATAATCTCCTCCAATCCCAAATTGAAGAGGCTAAGTTCTTGGTGAGTGTGACCAAAAGGCTCCCATTCTCCAGCTAGCTTTGTACTACACTCATAGTAGGGAAACCCTACCCTAGATGCTTCAGGCCAAGAATACCGTGGCTCCATTCCCTAGTGCCTCAGCTCACTCATATACAGAGGTTCTACACCATGAGAGGCAAGCTGAGAAGACTAAAGGGTAGCTTACTGACCCGGCCTACAGTAGTGGCTTAGAGATTTTGCCTGAAGGGAATGGCAGTTGGTAAGAACAAAAAGTGGGGAAGTTCAGACACTGTAGACTTTGTGGTAAGCTAAAATATCAGCCCCCTTAGTCAACCATTCTAGCAACCCCAGTCTGAAAATAGCTGAGTACAGTACAGTAATATATTTTGAGAGAGAGACCACATTCACATAACTTTTATAACAGTATATTATTATAATTATCTTATTAATCTCTTACTGTATCTAATTTACAAATTAAACTTTATCATAGGAATGCATACATAGGAGAAAAGAGTATATATAGGATTTGGCACTATCCATGGTTTTAGGCATCCATTGGAGTTTTGGAACATAACTCCTGTGGACCAAGGGTAGATTACTGTAAAGAAAGTCTGGTAGTTCTTAATTAAGATAGTAAACTAGGGACCGTCAGTTGGCGTAATGGCTATGTCGCTGGACTCCCATGTAAGCGACTGCAGTTTGAGTCCCGGACCCAGTGGCTTAAACTCACACCAGATGCCTGTGCATGTGTGCCCAAGATCCTGAGAGGAGAATGGAGGAGAAGTGATTGTTGTGGTGTAGCCATCCCCCCCCCAGGGGGGGGTGTGATTTCTCACTTTCTGTCTGTGTCTTTCTAGTGAGCACAAGCACCCTACAGCAAATATCTCTCCAAAAAAAAAAAAAAATAGTAAACTAAACTATAGTCTAGTTAGTTCATTCACCAGAACCAGGGAAAGGCATAGCTAAGAATAGTTCTCCTGAAGTCAGAACAAATTTCATTCTAAAAAACTACTCCTGCCTAAATTTGATCGAATCAGACGCTGGAGAAATTTATGCCCCAGGGTATTGTCAACAATAGTATTCAGCCAACAATTAGTGGAACCTGACCTCAGGCTGTGATACTAGTTGAGGAAGGAAGCTTAACAAGAGAGAACACAGAAGGAGCCCAAGAAAGTCCTGCTGAGTGTCATTCGAGAGGCAACTGTGTACATGCCCAAGGTTGCACTCTCTAAGGCACAACATCAAAGGCTTCACCAGTATATTGGGAAGTAGACTTTATTGAAATAGTCTAACCAAGTCACAAAACAAATAAATAAGCGAACAGCAAGCCCTGAAGGGAAGAAAGGAAGTCAGTATGGAGAGTTGCTACACTGTATTACCTGATGTCCAGTTTGTAACAAAAATTAGGAGACAGAAAGAAACAGGGAAGTGTGACCCATCCACAGGAAAAAGCAGGCAGCAGAAGAGGCCTGTGAAAGGGCCCAGCTACCACACTTGACTTCAGAGCAGCCAAGGTAAATGTGGTCAAAGAACTAAAGAAAACTATGTTTAAGAAATAAAGGAAGCTATGACAATAATGCTTCACCAAATAAATTATAACAGTGAAAATGTAGGAAATATTAAAAAGAGCCAAATGGAAATTCTGGAGATGACAAGTGTAATAACTGAAATGAAAAATTACCTAGAAGGGGGACCAGCAGATGGTGTAATGGTTATATCACGGAACTCCCATGTAGTCGACTATGGTTCAAGTCCTGGACCCATTCACTTAAACCTCACACCAGGTGCATGTGCGTGCGTGCCTGAGATCCTGAGAGGAGAATGGAGCAGAAGGTATTGCGGCAATGCTCTCCCCCTTGAGGGAGTGATTTCTCACTTTCTGTTTCTGTCTCTCTCTGTCTTGCTGGTGAACACACGTACTCTGTGGCAAAAATCTCTCTCTAAAAAAAATAAAGAAAGAAAAGTCACTAGAAGGACTCAACAGCAGATTTAAATTGATAGAAAAAAAGAATTAGCAAACTTAAAGATAAATTAACAGAAGTTAAGCATTCAGAAGAAAGAATAAAGAAAAATGAATAAAAAAGCTGCTAAGAAAGTAACTTAAAAAATAGTAAGAAAATGATTAAGAGAATTATGTTTTACTACAAAATATGCTTAATGCAAAAGAAATAGTAAAGGAAAACACCATACAAGATATGTTAAAATCAAAAAGTGAAATGGTAGAAGTAAATCCAACTTTATCAATAATAATATTAAATGTGGATGAATAATTCATTCCAAAGGCAGAGATTGCAGTGTTGGATTTTAAAAAGTAAGATCCAGTTATATGTGGTCTACAGGAGACATACTTTTGATTTAAAGCTACAAATAGATTGAAAATAAAGGATAAAAAAAAGATATCGTGCATCTATGGAAAAGTGGGGTGATATACTTTAAAGAGACTTAAAAAGAAAACCTGAGGCCAGCTGGTGGCATGGTGTTTAAGGCGGTTGAATTCCAAATGACTAGTTGCACAGTTCAAGTCCCAGACCAAGCAGGTTGGTGTGGAGAAGTGTGTGTGCATGCATGCCCAAAATCCCAAAAGGATTTGGAGGGAAATGTTGAAGGGATTGCAGCATTGTCATCTTCCATGGAGATACATTCTCTCTATCTGCCCCTACTCACAGTGAGCACACATACCTTCTGACACATCAAAAAAGGAAATTTGTTATCAGAGATAAGAGACATTTTGTAATAGTAAAAGAATTTGTGAATTTGTCAGTATATAACAGTTTTAAACATCTAACGACAGCACCCAAAAAATAACAGTTTGAAGGGAGACTTTAATATGCCACTTTCAGTAATGGATAGAACTAAACAGAAAATCAACAGGGAGATAGAAGACTTGAACAACCGAGTAAACCAACTAGAACAACTATAGAGCACTGCACCTAACAACTGCAGAATATACATTCTTCTCAAGAGCACATGGAACATTTTCCAGGATACGATTTGCTAGGCTATTTTTTAAAAACCTAAGTAAATTTTAACTGATTAAAGTTATGAAAATATGCCCTACAATCTCAATGGGATGAAATTAGAAGTTAACAGCAGGTAGAAATCTGTGAAATTCTCAAATATAAGGGATTAAGTGATATATTTCTAAATAGCCTATGGATTAAACAGGAGATTACAAAGGAAATTAGAGAATATTTTGAGACAAATGAAAATGAAGATACAGTGTACCAGTCTTAGGGATGTAGCCAAAGCATAGTTAGAATAGAATTTATAACTAAAAGGTCTGCATTTAAAAAAAAGAAAAAGAAAAAATCTCAGATCAATAATCTTAACTTCTATCTTAAGTCACTGGGAAAAGAAAAGCAAACTAATCTCAGAGCAATCAGATGGAAGGAAATAGGACTGGAATAGAAGTTGGTGAAATGGGGACCAGCAGATGGTATAATGGTTACATTGCTGGACTCCCATTTAGTTGACTGCGGTTCAAGTCCTGGACCAGGCGGCTTAAAATTCAAGCCAGGTATGTGTGCATGCGTGTCTAAAATCCTGAGAGGAGAATGGAGAAGACCATCTCCCTTGAAGGGGGATGGTATTTCTTGCTTTCTGTCTCTCTCTCTCCAGTGAGCACACATGCCCTTATAGCAAAAATCTCCCAAAAAAGAAAAAAAAAAAAAGAAAAAGTTGATTAAATAGAGAATAGAAAAATAAAGAAAATCCACAAAACCAAAGTTGGTTATTTGAAATATCAACAAAACTGACATACCTTTAGCTACACTCACTGGAAAAAAAAAAAAAGAGAGAGAGAGAGAGAGAGAGAGCTCAAATGACTGAAATCAGGAACAAAAGAATATACATTATAACCAACCTTAAAAAGATATAAAGGACTCAGGGACCAGCAGTTAGCGTAATGGCTATGTCGCTGGACTCCCATGTGGTCGACCATGGTTCGAGTCCCGGACCCGGTGGGACTCACACCAGGCATGTGTGCATGCATGCCCAAGATCCTGAGAGGAGAATGGAAGAGAAGGGATTGCGGCGTGGCCACCACCCCAACCGCGGGGGGTGATTTCTCACTTTCTTTGTCTCTGTTTCTCTCTGTCTCTTTGGCGAGTGCACACACCCTATAGCAAAAACCTTCCCCCCCCCCAAAAAAAAAGAATGATTAAAATAAAATAAATAAATTTAAAAAAAGATATAAAGGACTCTAAGGCAGTACTATAAACAGTGTAGGGGACCAGCAGATAGAATGGTAGTTAAGGACCCTAGACTCCCACATGGCCAGCTATGGTTCGAGTCCTGGACCTGGCTACTTGCTTTCTCACTTTCTCTCTCTCTTGTTAAATTAAAATAAATAAAAGCATAAAAGTAAAAAAAACAATTCTTTTTTTTTTTTTGAGAAGTTTTTGCTATTGGGCGCACGTGCTCACCAGAAAGA